AGCAAGTATGTGAGAAATTTCCCTTATAAACATTTAAATGTAATGGCCAGTTTGGCATATTCATCCTGACTTTATAATAAATCCTATTGGTTATATGGACAGGTAACAGCTGTTGGAAATAGATAAATTTACATGGTAAACCAAGCAGTTACTTCTTCAGCATTTGCATGGACTTTTCACCCAGCTTTGACAGGATCCAGGAATTTCAGTAAGTGGTAGTACAAGTTCCCTTTCACTTTATGCCACATACACAGAGGGTGCTTGGTACATCTTTGCTGACTCGTTGCTGATTGAGTAACTAGAGTTTACCTGCATTATAGAAGCTGCTCTATCTCAGTAATTGGCAGCAGGTAAATTCATCTGGTAGACACCAAGTCTGTAGCAAGTTTAGATTTTCTGGCCATCAGCAGTCCGGCTGGAACTGGAGCATTATACCCAACATAGAACAATGACTTAAAGCCAGAAATGCAAGACCTCAATAGAATTGCTTATGTTCTTGGTTATGTGGGTCATGATGCAGTTTCCAAATACATTTTTTGTTGTTACTGGAAGAAAATAGAGTATGATTGCATTTATTTTTCTTTTCTGCTAGGATATCACACTTCTGTGTTGATAATGACATAGAGCATTAACTATCTGCAGGTATTGTGCCAAGATCTTCCCATGTATTTCCCTAGTTTTCCTCACATCCGTTCCAGGAGTGGTGCCTCTGTCATTACCGTTTTTTTTTGTTGTTTTGTTTTCATTTTTGTTTTTTCTGTCGGTCATGAGGCTTGAACTCTGGGCCTGGGTGCCGTCCCTCAGCTCTTTAGCTCAAGCCAAGCTCTCTGCCACTTGAGCCACAGGGCCACTTCCAGTTTTCTGGTGGTTTTCATAGACTTTCCTGCCCAGACTGGTTTTGAACTGCGATCCTCAGATCTCAGCTTCCTGAGTAGTTAGGATTACAGGCATGAGCCGCTAGCGCCCAGCTTCATTCCTGTTTTCAGATGAGGAATCACAGTGTTAATCACTTTCTCAGGGTTACACTGCTGGTAAGAAGTAGTGTAGCGACCCCTATGACCCAGCAATCCCACTTTTGGGCATTTACCCAAATGTTTACAAACAAGACCACTCTAAAGCTACCAGCACAACTATGTTTATTGCAGCATTATTTACTATAGCTAAGATATGGAACCAACCCAGATGCCCTTCAGTAGATGAATGGATCAAGAAAATGTGGTATATATACACAGTGGAATTCTATGCCTCCATCAGAAAGAATGACATTTCCCCATTTGTTAGGAAATGGAAAGGCTTGGAAAAAATTATATTAAGTGAAGTAAGCCAGGCCCAAAGAAACATAGGTCCCATGGTTTCCCTTATTTGCAATATCTAGTATATGTCTGAGTCAAACAGAAAAGGTCAGATAAGGTGATGTTAGGGAAATGAACCCTAAGATATGTATTCAAATGTTTTTTTTTTCTTTCATGCGATTATTTCTAACGCATTTATAAGATTATTTCTTTGTTGCTTTGTATGCCCCTCCCCCATGGTATAACCCCTGCTTTCACTGTATTTGATGTTGATATAATTTGTGGAGGGGAAGGGGAAAAACAAGTCGTTTAAATAAGGATACAGGTGGACCCGTTGCAACAACGAGAAGTACAAATTGTCATGTCGAAAACGAACTTTACAACTTTGGTGGGCGGGGGGAGGATTGGGTGGGGGGGCAGGGGGAGACTGAGAAGGGATGGGAAGGGGAAACAAAGGAGGAGGCTACAATGCTTGATAAGAAATGTACTCATTATCTTGCCCATGTAATTATAACCCCTCTGTACAGTATTTTCACAATAAAAAATAAATAAAAATTTTAAAAAAAGTAGTGTAGCGACTGAATGTAGGGTCTTGCTGATGGCTATGGTTATGGTTTCCATAACCACCACTAGTCCTCCTGTTACCATCATCAGGAATGTTACCTAGAACCAGAAATGAAGGATGCCAGACATGGAGAGACATCATGAGAAAAGGTAGTAAAATAATAGAACTTCCTTTCAACCCCAAACATCTACTTAAGTGTATAATTATGGGTTTTTAATTTTTTAGAGTACTCATCATATTTGTAAATGCACAGCCCATAGTCCATGGTTCAGGCAAAGATGATTCTTACCTAAGTAACTGACTTACTGACTCTGGACTAGCCTTACCAAAGTTCCTGTAAGACTACTTTTAACATCATTTTGGGCTATTGCAACAAATGGCATTTTCTGTGTCATTTAGGGATGCTGTCTGGTCTGCAGAACATTAGTGGTTATTATTCAGTTAAATTGTGAAGAACTCACAAATTTGCTTCTATTTTACAGATCTTATTATTTCATGTTTAAGTAGTTTTACAATTCAACAAATAAGTTTACAAGTATAATGCATCCCAATGGATGTCACCCCTTTCATTGGGGTAAAACCCTTCCCTCCTAGCCTATCCTTTCCTCAATTTTCTTAATTTCATAGGTTGTGCATAGACTGTGATCACAGTGTTCTCTTTTTTAACATCAAAGAGGTACACTATCATCTTTATTATTAAAGTCTCATCATAAAGCACCAATTAAAATAACATTAAGCTTTGGTGTTTAAATGTGAATTCAAAGAGCATTGCCTTATGAATTTGAAGGCCTGAAAACCTGTTTCCTGATAATGTGGCTCCAGGTAAATTCTTCCAGCTGTAGTGAGAAGCTGTAAACTGCAACAATAGTTGATCTTTTTTTTCCCTCTTCTGGTTTAGTTTTTAGGTGTTCTATAATGGCATCTTACCTCCTTCTCTCACAGAGTTAGTATAAATCCCTGACTTTCCAGTGATCTGTCAGCTGAGTTCTCATGGAGAGAACCCTACTGATGCCCTCTGCTCTCTGTAGTTGTGTCTTTCTCCTTGGATACCTGTTCACTTGGAAGACCGGTTAGTTGGAATCCTGGTACTGGGGTGGGGCTTCTGAGGTCAGGATTTTGTTGTGGCATGACTTAACTAGGAACAGGATTGAGTGTTTTCAGTAGTGTTCCCTGAGGTGCTGCAATGGGAAGCGTATAACATCATCTGTGCGATATTGTTGATAACATCTTTAACGGAATCTTCAGAAATAGCCTCCAGACAGATGTAGTCCAGGCAGGATTTTACTAGACATGGGGCTTGGGCTCTTAAAAAATGTCCATCATAGTTGGGTGAGATGGTACATGCCTGTAATCTCAGCACTGGAGGGGCTAAAGGATTGCAAAATCAGAGCCAGAATGGGTTACATAGTGAGACCTTGTTTCAGCTACAACAAAATGTCCACGATGAAAAACAAATTTTAAATAAAAGACACCTGGGCTGTTCTTTATTGGGAGATGGAGCAGGAGGAGGAATGACTAAATGCAATGAGTAGTCATCCCTTGGATCCTGCTTTTAAAAATTTTATCGAAGTGTTTTGCTGTTTATTGGAAAGGTTATAATATACAATGAAGTCCTAGCCACTGAACGGATGTTAAGTTTCTGGGTATAATAATAGTATTGTGGTTATGTAGGAATGGTTGCATTATCTGGGGATGAGGTGTTATGTGAACACATTAAGTAGTTAAGGTACAAAAAATATATTTGTGCACATGTATTTTGCTCTATCTTGTGTGCACATATATGTAAATTGACAGCATAAACATATGCATACATATAAATAAAATGTGATGATGTATGTTCCCTTGATGTACAAGCATTCTTTATGAAAATTATTTATTATGAAAATGTTCATTTTGCAGAATTGAACAATAAAGGGCAAAGCAGTGATTGAAAATGCAGTGAAATAGTGAAGCATTTTTATTGGCCTCATAATTTATTGAACAAAGGTTTACTGAGCACCTGTTAAGGTATTCTGAATTCCTGTGAGCAGGACAGCCAGTTCTCATTCTAGTCAGCTTAGTAGCCTGGTGTAAACACATACAGTAACAGTGGCCACTGTTTTGGAAAGGGATCCTAGATGTACAGAGCAGTGTACAAAGCAGTCACTTTTCAGCGGAGTCTCCTGAAGAAGGAGTTGGCATTGGAAAGAGGAGGCTGGAGGTGGAACAGAGCCCTATGCAGGAGAGAGTGAGCTAGTCCCTTGTGTCTGGGAAGCATCAACTGTGGACACCTGAGCAGAAAGCATGGCTTTCCCAGACGTTCTCCTTAGCCAAGGTATCAGACGGGCACTAAAGGGTTTTCAACGTGGGAATGGCCCACAGGGCTGAATTTCTATTTTAGAGCAGTGATGTTGGTGAGTGCTTTGAAGCTATAGAAAGGATGGAGGGTTCAAAGTGGCTGAATGCCACTTTTTACCAGTGTGAGGGAGACCTGAAGGGGCTCCTTCACTGGAACATGTAGGGGTACATGGGTGGCACTGGTGCAGACTAGATTGAGTGGACATTGAAAGGGTCAAGAATTCATGACCGGCAACATGCTCAGGGAAACTCATGAGTGTGGTGTTGGTGGGGGGAAGGAGTCAGGGAAAGCTGTATTCATACATACTTTTTAATATGGAAAGTCTTAATCACCCTTAACCTCTAAAGGTCATGAGGGGAGGCGAGGGGAGGTTGGGAGGGGAAGGCTGACCAGTGGGGGGTGGGGGGTGGGAGGAGAGGCGGAATAATGGACTAGACTCCTAGAATTCTAAGACTAGTGGCCAGAGGGGAAGGAAAGCTTAGGACGTGTAGATGAAGGAAATGACTCAGTAAGTGTTACAGTGAGTACTTTGAAAGCAAAACCATTCAGAAGTTTCTCAAAGGCTTTTGCCAAGCAAAGCACACCTGTCTTGGGCTGCTGCAAGGTCCCTGGATGGTGTGCTTCACTGTGCCCCTTGACCTGGTGCTGTGTGCTGGCTCTTAGGGTGGTTAGGAAGCAGTAGGAAGGGTGCAGTTCATTAAATGCAGCCAGAGTAAATGGTTGTTCTAACACGGTGTTTAAAGGATAACTGGAGAGTCAGACTTTTTTCTTTTAAACTAATCAGTAACTAATTGTTTTGATGCAGGAGAAGATCACAGATAACCTACCCAACTGCAGTCAGCTTTCGAGAGATGCTTTCCAGCAGGAAGAGAGGCAGCTAATTACAAGTTCTCTGTTTCTTGAACAGGTTGAGTACTGAAGTGACACACTTCCTTAACTAGGGTTTTTGCAGTAGGGTAACTTCGTCTTCTGATTTTGGGGCTAGTGCCTCGGATATTTTCTTCTACTCGATCAAACCAATTAGCTATAGTTAGGTATTGGTAGCTCATGCCTGTAATCTTACCTGCTCAGGAGGCTGAAATCTGGAGGATCATGGCTTAAGGCTAGCTAGGGCAGAAAAGTCTATAAATAGAGTCTCCAGTTAACCATGGGGGAAAAAAAAAGCAGAGTTGGAGATATGGCTCAAGTGGTAGAGTATCAGCCAAGTGAGTTAGGTCCCTGAGTTTAAACCCCTGTATAGGCAAAACTAAAACAAAACTAATAAGAATTGGCTGGGTCTTGTAATCAGAATTAATCAGAAGCAAAGATTATATCAAAATGTGGGTTTTCATATCTTCCTTTTTCCTCTTAAAGAAAAATTTTAAGTTTATTCTTGAGTTGATGAAATACCTCCTTCATTCCTTCCCTGGGTAGATTATGCTTTGTGAACCTTTAGAGACTTTCTCCCAGCTTAACTCCACCCTTTGGGTCACACCATCTATTTCAGGAAGTGATCATTTCAGAGTTCAGTAAATGACTCATTTTTATGTGCTCGGCTGGGTGTGATATTTCTTATTTTCCATTAAAGGCAACTTTGTTTTGTTAATGGTGTTAGATTCCTTGAAAACAGAAAGCGGTTTCCCTTCAAATGTTTTAAAATGACGTAAGAATCCTGCACTGTTTTTTGTTTTGTTTTGTTTTATTTTTTTAACCAGCCCATACAGAATTTTTAGACCTTGGTCTTTTCTCCTTGAGCATTTCCTTTGTTGCCTTCAGTTCAGTGTTTTATCAATCTAATATTAATTTCCCTCTAGTTCTAGGGCTCTTGTTAACCTTGATATGGAGTGCTGTCAAATGTTTTCTGAATTCCCAGATCACTGCCGCTCCTTTTATTAAACTTGCGGGTGGGGGGGCGGGGATTTGCGGGGTGTGCTGTGAGAATAACTTGCCATTCCTGGGAGCAGGTTGGTTGCACCCCATCAAAATGTGCTCGATAAATGATGAAATCAGCACCCCTAGGTTTCAGTGATTACATGGCTGTTGAATTGTAAGTCTGTAGTGAAGTCCTGGGATGACAGTGGAAATTAATAACAGAAAGTGCTAGCCAAGTGCAGAATGAACATGCGGCCTTAAGATTCATGAATCTGAATGACGCTGTTGCTCATTACCCTTAAACACTTGCTAACATTGCCATATCCTAACACTCTATTTTTCCCATTGCCACCAAGGCTTGTAGAGCGCAACCACGACATTCATATCAAAATCAGAGCAGCTTCCCTGTGGATTGCTGACTATGTTCTGATCATTGGACTAAGAACTTTTAATACATTATCTCATTTAATAACTTTAACATACTTTAGGCATGTAGTATATATTATGTATTATGGTAAGTACTGGGTGGGGGGCGGGGTCGGTAATGATGCCCCCTACTTTCAAGGATTTATTACTGGGGCTTGAACTCAGGCTCCTCACACTCTTGTTTGGCCTTTTTTGTTTAAGGTTAAGGCCGACACTCTACCGCTTGAGCCACATCTCTGTTTCCTTTTCTCTATCTACCTTTTGTGTGTGCCAAAGGATTTATAATTTAATGGGAGATTCCAGTAAGAAAATCAGAAACAATATGGCTAGAACATGGTATTATTATGCTTTGTAGTATGAAGCATGTTATGTGGGATACATTTGGGATAAGCAGTGATTTTCCTAGTGGGTATCATATTCTGTTCCCAAATTACATTTACAGGGAAATACAAGCTTACATGTGACTAAAATATAACTAGGGGGAAATAGGTAGTGAGATTGTTGTTGGGGCTGGACCTATCCCTGAGGGTATGTATGGTTCAACACCAGCTAAAGACTAACCAGAGCTGGAACTGTGAACATAGTGGAGGCTTTTCTGTCTAGCCAAAGGCAAGAGACCTAGTCCCAGGACATCTGGTTTAGAGCAGCCTGAACCAGGAGAGCCCTTGAAGACTTCAGCCCTGCTGGGAACTGGGCCATCATGCCTTTTTTCTTGATAGACTCTGAACCCTGAGCTAGTAATAGCCATAGCACATTGGCACTTGTCAGGTATTCAGATCAGGACTCACAAAGCAAATATTAAATGTTAATCTTTTTTAGACATACAGGTGATAAAAGCCAGGCACCTTTTACATATCAGACATGGCACTGGTCATCAAGTTCAACTACCTTTATGGGGAGAGTCCTGACTGTTTAGGAGTCAGTCTGGTGACTGATGGAGCAATTCTGAAGTTCTTGCCAGGCTGGGGAGAGGTACCCATGGGGAGGGAATGTCTCAAGAGCTCCCACTACCCTCACCCCAGCAGGCAGGTGCAGGTGCAGTGGAAGTGCTAGAAGGGCACTTCACAAGGGAGGCAGATCAGAATTTCCAGGGAAAAGACATCTGGAACCTAAAACAGAAATCAAGGAGAGGGACAGGGAGGAGAGAACGGGAAAGGGAAATGCTCCTTTCCAACAGGCACGGCAAAATCTGGGCCAAGAATGACTGGAGGGTGGAGAAGAAGGAAGCTTTTAGGATAGTATTGGGTTTTTCTTTTTCCTTGTGTGGACATTTGCACTAAGAGTTCAAAAGCAATGGTGGGTAAAACTGCAGGCACTTTAACATGAATGACTGCAGTGGCTCCAAGCTGTGGTTATTTTACTCCTTGTCACCAACAGAGCATCTGCCATTGAAAATCTTCAGTTTCACTTCTTAAAGTAGCAAACTTTGTTTTCATTTACTTTTACCCTGAGTACACAACTTTGTCACACGTGATCAAGTGGGAAATGCATATATAGAACTTTATATCCAAAAATCATCTTGGTTTAAGAAAGGTTCTATGCAGTTGCTTGACCTGTAAGCCAGACTAGCCCCTCATGGAGCAATGTTCTTAAATGAAAGTAAATGCTGGATGGTGTGTGTGTGTGTGTGTGTGTGTGTGTGTGTGTGTGTACCTATATACTTGCTTTTTTTCTATTGTTATTTTTTATTTTTTGTTTTTGTGGTACTGAGAAATTGAACCCAGGGCCTCATGCATGCTGGACAATCACTACCATTAAGCCATTTCCAGCCCCATACTTAGTTATTTAGACCTACCTTGTTCGGCTTCGTGGTGACATTTAATAAAGGTGTTTTGTGTTTTTTTTTTGGAGGGAGGGGTGGTCATGAGGCTTGAACTCTGGATCTGGGTGCTGTCCCTCAGCTCTTCAGCTTAAGGCAAGTGCTCTACCACTTGAGCCACAGCACCACTTCTGGATTTCTGGTGGTTAATTGGAGATAAGAGTCTCAGGAACTTCCCTTGCCTGAGCTGGCTTTGAACTGTGATCCTCAGCTCTCAACTTCCAGAGTAGCTAGGATTACAGGTGTGAGCCACTGGCACCTGGCAAAGGCGATTTTTTTTTGGAATTTTTTTTTTATTGTGAAAATACTATACAGAGGGGTTACAATTACATGGGCAAGATAATGAGTACATTTCTTATCAAGCATTGTAGCCTCCCCCTTTTTTTAAGGCGATTTTTTTATATGTATAATAAAATGTATCAACAATTGGGAGATCCCCATAATTGAGTGAACTAATATTTCCTGACTGACTGTGTATGACTCTGTGCTACAGAACCACAACTAGTTTAAGATCCATTCTATGTGTTTTTTTTTTCTTTTGTATGTTCTTCCCCCATGGTATAGCCCTGGTTTTCACTGTATTTGATTCTGGTGCCCTGCATCTTGTATATACATTTTTCTGATTTGGAGAGGGGAAGGGAAATAACAAAATGCTGAAATAAGGATACAGGTTGACATATTGTAACAATGAGATGTACAAGACACTATGTTGAAAATGAACTTTACAACTTGAGGGGGGCGGGATGGAGGAGTTGGGGAGGTGGGGAGGAAAGGGATGGAGGGGAAAAACAAAGGAGGGGGTAACTGCTCAATAGGTAGCTACTCATCACCCTACTCATGTAACTGTAACCCCTTTGTACAGTATCTTTACAATAAAGAATATATTTAAAAAGATCCATTCTATATAAAAATTAGACTCCAGTGGATTTTACTATAACAGAATAAGAGCTTATTGCTGCAATTTCAGATTCCTCATTGTGACTAACCTTTAAGAAATGGTCCATTGTCAAGTTTTACTGCATTTTCACATAAGACTGCAGTTGTCTGAAAAGGCTATTTAAATACTCCTTCCTTTTCTAACTATCGGTGGAAGCCTAGATTTCCTTCCTATGCTTTAACCAAATCAATGGATTACAACAGAGTTCATGCTGACTCCAGCCAGATACTGAAAAGATTTGCAAAAATATAAAACAATGCCACTTTTCCCATTAAAATTTTCTTTAATATAGGAAAGTAAAGGATTTTTTCACTAACTGTTTTGTTTACAACAGTTACTCTTAAGTGAATTTGTGAATGTATAAAATGTTTCAATTTTATGATTTATAGCAAATGCCCATAGATATTACAGGGGAACTAAGGCTTTTGGAGGATTTTTCAGTAGTTTTTAGAAAGTATACAGGGGCATTGAGAATAAAACATTTGGAAAAAAAGTGATCTAAATACTTAATCCTGAAAAGCATTTAATACAGGAAATTAGATGCTTGTGAACCATTTGAAAGGCTGCGGTTGGAAAGATCAACGAAGTCTTCACTAATTCAGATTTGCCAGTGGTTTACAAAGAGCTGAGAGGTTGCTACTGCAGTAATGTCAGAAGCTGCAGAAAACCTGCAGTGGTTTCTACCTGATGAAAAGAGGTAAGAATCTGCTAAATGAAATGCTTGATCTGTGATTGGATCCTGGATTGGGACAGTGTAGACAAAAGCGACATTTCTGGGAAAACTGACTATGAGCTGTAGAGTAGATGTTTTTATATTAAATTTCTAGAACTGTTGTTGGCTTGGTTTTGTTGTTGTTGGGTTGGGGGTACAGTG